CTGATCAAAATAAAACTGCTCAATGACAAAACAAAGAACCTCTAAATTTTTGAGGAGCTTTGGCAGAAAGCTACTGGGCTTCTTTAAGTTTTGTGAAGAAGTTTCACCTCTTATCCAAGATGCTTCTATAAGAGTGCCAGGTATTTAAACCCCAGTGGGATTGTTCCGTAAGAGTATTAATTATGCACGTAAACACATGTGTTTACGTGCATAATTAATACTCTTACGTCTTACGTCTTTTTTCACACCTTGGCTCATGAGCCAAGGTGTGAAAAAAGACCTGGATTAATATCGCCAGAAGTTTCGGGTAAAACCATTGTGACACCTTGAGTGAGGCCTCCCCTATCATGTTGACGTATTGAGGTCAAAATTGCAATGTAGGTGGCAGACGCCTGGTGTCGTAAGCCCCCTCTTTTTAAAAAATGGTGATTCACAGTGGACATAGATGGCCATTCGTGATATTTTATATACTAACTATGCTACATATAGACAACTTTTCATTTAGTTTGTCCATAGCAACTCATATCAACCTTACAAGCACACGTTGGTTGTTTAAAACAACTGGATGAGAACACTTGAAAGAGCTGTTTTTATACAGTTTTCAGCTTTATTAATGTGTAAGCAAGGACTCTTGTTGGCTTTTTGCAAATGCTTTGATTCCACCTACGTCATCTGTATCAACAGTAGTTCACTTGGGTTTACTTTTTTCCCTCACATTGCCACATCTTTGCTGCCTTTGGTGCATTTGTGTAGGTCTTACCAAACAGGGCTAAATATAAGTGGTCAAATGTTCATATGATCAGAATCAGAATCAGAATACTTTATTGATCCCTGGGGGAAATTATTTTTTGTTACAGTGCTCCATTATAAACCAACATTAAGACAAGACGGACAATACGCTAACTAAGAATAGTACAATATAAACATATATATACATACATACATAAGTCACTCATAAATAAATAGCTGGAAAAGAAACATGTGTAGTTGTAGCAGTAACCAGTGTGTTAAGTGGATGCGTTGTACAGGGAGATGGCCACAGGCAGGAAAGATTTCCTGTGTCGTTCAGTGGTGCTTTTCGGTAATCTCAGTCTCTCACTGAACGTGCTCCTGTGACTGACCAGCATGTCATGGAGTGGGTGGGAGGTGTTATCCAACATTGTCTTTATCTTGGACAGCATCCGCCTCTCCGACACCACCTTGAGGGAGTCCAGCAACATTGCTGGCCTTACGGATTAGTTTATTAAGTCTGTTGGCATCTGCGACCCTCAGCCTGCTCCCCCAGCATGCAACAGCATAGAGGATCGCACTGGCCACAACAGACTCATAGAAAATCCTCAGCATTTTCTGGCAGATACAGAAGGACCTCAGTCGCCTCAAAAAATAGAGACGACTCTGGCCCTTCCTGTGAAGTGCTGTTGTGTTTTTAGCCCAGTCCAGTTTATTGTCAATGTGTACTCCAAGGTATTTATAGTCCTCCACAATGTCAACACTGACCCCCTGGATTGAAACAGGGGTCAAGTGTTTCCTGGTCTTCCTGAAGTCCACGATCAGTTCCTTGATCTTTGCCACGTTGAGCTGCAGATGATTCTGCTCACACCACGTGACAAAGGAGTCGACCACAGCCCGGTACTCTGTCTCATCATCCCTGCTGATGCATCCAACCACCGCAGAGTCATCAGAAAACTTCTGAAGACTGATTGATGATGTGCCCTGCTTTCAAATGAAAGGATTTTTCCTATTGAATATGTTTCAGGAACTCTTTTATGGTGTGTATTTCATGCATGTTCATTTCGCAATGAGTGCTATTTATCAAAGTAACACTTATTTTGACAAAGTAAACCATTTTAATCTACATTTCTTTCAAGGCTGCTTTTTGTGTATGTGTAACGTTGGTAGGGTCGGTGTATTCTCTGCAGGACTTTTATCTTATTCTGACAGAACAACACATGATGATGATGCCAAGAGTAACAAAGTTCACAAACGGCGAGCACAAAGGCTTGTTTACCCTTCCCTCCTCAGCTCACGGTCATACATCCTTTTAAATGAAGGTCCTTTTTCACCTTTCACTCAAAAAACAACAAACAATAACAACAAACTCTACACCCACTCAATGCTCTGAAAATGAGGTGTAGTTGCTAGGATGTGTCAATTAAGTTGTAATTGACTGTGTTGTTGCCCTCTCATTGATTTCTAAGTATACTTTTTCATTTGCTATGGTTGGATTGACTGTTGTGGCAATGGCTACAATACAGACAACAGAGTTGTTCACCGCCTCTCACTTCTAATACTGCTTTCTGTCTGTCCTTGAAAGGAGCATGTATAAAAGCTGCTGGAATATAACAGCAGAAGCATGGTAAACTAAATGGGTACAACCACAACCAGCCATTCTCTCAGATTGTTTTTTTTTTTTTGTGCTTGGCCTTTTTTTGCAATAAACTGTTGGGTGGGATTTGGGGAAGCAAACAAAATTACACATTAAAAAACAAAATCTCCCTGTCTCCCTCTGGTTTCATATCTAAAGATATCTAGATATCACATTTTGCACATTCTTTTGCAAAACTAATTTGAAATCAGTATTGAAATTTGTACTGTACTGTACAAAAATCTCAAACTTTAGCCTAAGAGGATCACAATGATGTGACTAATGCCAGACTGCACTAGAGTACATACACACACACACAAACATGCACACACACACACATTTATGAGAGGTTTGAGTTAGGCATACCCCCTGAATATTTCTGGCTGCAGGCTTTGGACAATGACTGGCAATAATGGTTATTATTATTATTAGTTATTTTTGCCTTAACATGCAAAACTCGAACAGTTCTCTACTGCCAGGGGCACAGTGCATAATCGGAAATTATGGACTATGTAATACAACATACATTATAGCATAGAAAATGTTATATGGGATTATACAGACTCAGTATATACTGTACAAGTACATAGACAAACTAAATTAGCTGAGGCTGACATGAAAAAAGGTTATGAAATACGTTACAGTGCGACAAATTTTAGAGCAGACTGTTTCTCCGCACTGTACTCTGACCAGAATTACAGCAGTCAATACGCAATAATATGGAAATGTAATTTTTACCATTCAGTGACCAGGCCTGCATTGCAGCGTGCATTAAATCACCAATTAAAGCACCCATAGTCAGTTTTAAGAGCGTAGCGATCATCTTTCCATTGGTTTAATTAGGCTAATTAATTGATATTTGAAACATTGCTCATTGTAATTACATTTAATCAAGGGGTGACCTATTAGATGGCGAGAATCATAATGGTTGTGAAGAAGACCTTTCTGCTGGTTACTTAAGCTTGACTGACTCTTGATGAAAAGAAGAGCTGGTATTTTAATTCATATTGTTGATGTAGTTAGACCAGACTAAAATAAAACAAACAAAGGCCTACTTCTGAAAAAAATCAAAGGAATAGTTCATTATTGCAAAGGCACATTTTTGCAGTCTTTCACAGTCAAAATACGTCTGTGCAAAAATTCATTCACTGAAAATTGGCGGTATATCAGAAAACATCAGCTTACATCAGTTTTCATTTATAATGCCCCATCTTTAGACCACTTGAATTACCTAAAACGGAGGGAAGTTCCTTCCATTTAAAGGGGTCATTACTATTTTGTGTTAGATAGTGGATGAACTAAGCTGCACCAAGGCCCAGTATAAGAAGCTGGGGTTAATTTGGTACTCTAATAGAGCCTAAGAAAAAATATGGAGTCGAAAACATAAATAAGATTCCTTTAAAAGATCACAGACCATCATTCTTCCGAGGGAATTTAACCACCCTCTCTGAACATTATGCACCTGATGAGACAGGCAAAACAAAACTGAACATGACGCACACAGGACAAATGACTATCAGAATAAAGCAGGAAACAAACAGAGGCCAGTCACAGGAAAACATGGAAAACACAGACTCAGACTGACTGAATACAGGGAACGGGAGACAAGACTAGCAAGACAGAATGAGGACAGAGAAACAGAGAAACCAGACAGACAAAAAAAGAACAAAAACTAGACACACCAATGAAGTCGGTGTCAGAAATACACAAGTCCATGATGTTGTAAATAAATGTTTTAAGTCATTTCTAATTTTTAATGACTAGTCTCATTTTTGTCCAGAGTGGATGCCCATAAAAACGTTTCCCAGTCCAGACTTCCAGTTTGATACAACACAATAACCAAATATCCCAACTGGGAAGTGTTAAACTTGAAACTTTCAAACAATCTCTTATTTTCATTAGGATGGAAATAATTACAACAAAGAATCTTTCCAAATTTGGCTGGGCAAATAGAAAATATTTTTAACGATCTGTGAAGGAACACACAATGAGCCAGCTTTTAGAATAAAGATGATAAACATGCAGAATATTCAGGCCTAGGCTACAGTACATCAGCCAAATCCACATTTTATACCCAATGATAGCAGACCTCCATATAACATGAGAGAGGAGATTGCTGTGATGAAAATCACTGCAAAATGGTATCTGCAAACCACAAAGTACAAGACCCAGAACCACTGGCTTCACCTGCAGTTGAAGTACTGCAGAGGAAATTTACAAAAAGCCATTCAAGAGCTTCAAGAACAGCTGGGAGAGGCTCGTAGGAGCAGACCCGAGTCTAACACTGAGGAGAACTTCACCCCTGAGGTGACTGAAGCTTCTGTTGAATACAGCAAGACAGCTAACACCACTGCAGAGCTGAGTCTGGAGACCTCAACCCAAACAGCAGAAGCTCCACACACAGACTCCACAGAGCTGAAAACAACTAAGAAGCAGCATGAAGAGATCGAACAATTCTCAAAACTCAAAAACATCAGGAAGAGGAAGCTGCAAAACGCAAAGAACAAGAAGAGAGAATCCGCTGTGAGATCGCAGAGCTCGAAGCCAAACTCTGCGCCACTGAGGCCCTGCGTGAAAAAAGGATTTGAAGACACAGAACTTGAAACAAGAGCTGGAAAAGACCAAAGCTTCTTACCTGGAAATCGTAGAGAAGCAAAAATAGGAGAACGCAAACATCACAGAGAAAGAGACGTAGAAAAGATCGTACTGCGGCAGACTTTGCAGTCTCTGCAAGAGACAAGAAAAAAACAAGAAACAGAGGCCAGCATTACTGAATTAGAAAATCCTCAGGACCAAAATAAGACAGGACAGGAGCCAATAGCAGAGAAACAAGCAAAAGTGGGGAAGCAAAGAAAAAGAAAAAACCCAAAAAGAAAATGAAGCACATTGACAAAATGAAGTTTTTCCTCCCCACTGTCACCCAAGTGCTTACACACAGCTTGTTTTTTTTCTTTTATTCAGTTCAGTTCAATTCATTCAAAAAAAAAAATCGGAATTGTGAAGATTGAATTTTGTCTGATTTAAAAAGTATTTAAAATGTCAAATTACCACAACGCAACAGCAGAAATAGTTTTTTGCTCTGTGGATAGTTTCCACTATATCTGTGCTGTTGATGCCTTTGGGGGCATTTTTTGTCAGTTGCCTGTTTTGGTTTTATCTCTACTAGCAAGCCCCTGGGCTCCACGCAGGAGACGGGGAACAAACAAACATATATACACACCTGTAACCATGACATTCATTATGAAACAGAAAACTGGACACGTGACAGCAGTGCGAGAACTTTTGTCACTCACATCACTCATAATTTAGTGCAGGAAGATGTAGTTCACTGTCAGCTTTTACAGCCACGAGTGAAGGATCTGCTATCTGTTTAAAGTCAACACAGCTACAGTGCACATTTGTATCATCCCCTGTGTTGTGAATTTTATGAGCCATGTATCTGCTGATACATATGAGAAAGCAGCTTGCAGTGATGTTTCTTCCTACTGCCATGCGGGCACGACAAACAGACAAGAAAAAGATATATAACTGTAACAAGACACTGCATTTTTTAATTATTTATATAAGAGCTTATAAGAAACATTTAGGATTAGATAATGCAAGACATAGATACCTCTGCATTTTACACAGTCACATAGAAGTGAAATCACAGTTCATTCTGATGAGTAAGTGAGAAGAGCAGCAGACACTCAATATCTCTCAGTACAACCAGTCCAATAGCTTCTCGTATGGACAGGATCAGGTCTCACAGTGGAGGGAGCAACTGTGGATATAAATCCAGCACACACACTGTTTGAGAAATACACACATATATCCAAGGCTAAAGATTTTGGCAGGAATGGGAATGGCATGAATAAAGATTTTCTGTTGTGCATGCTCAGGAATTATTTGTAGTCTCTTGTTTAATTACAAAGCTTCTCATTCGTATGTCTCTCTTTACACTGTATTCTCAATTTCCTAAATATCATCTGTTGTTTTTCATCTCCAATTCTCACTGTTTCTATAATACCCAGATGGTGTTATTATGTCATGATAGCAGGTGTTTCATTAAGACTTGTAGTGCTGATACTAAGGATTGAGAAATTTACAGGCAGGGACATTTTGATGACCCGGGCTACGCATCGAAAGGTACCCCTGAGACAATGGATGATGATGTCTTTTAATTCAGCCTCAATTGGTATCTGGACAGAGTCAGGTCATCACAATTACACACTCCAGCAATCAACATTTGTATACATGCAATAGTGTTGTAATGTGTCGAAAGCCTAGATTAGCCACACAGAGATATGGGAAATGTAGATACAATTACAGTGCCTTGTGACGTTAAATATCTGAACACGGTGTTACCCACCACCACTGCTGTAACTGATCACTATGGCCGTTCACAGAAACAACATCAATGTAGCTTTTTTTCTGCTTCGGGGTAGATTACGTTTGAGATCCATTCAAGATCTAAGAAACCACTGATTAGTGATCAAACACTTCTCTGGAAATTAGTGTTACAGTCTATCAAAGATCCCAGTTTGTGGATAGTAAGAGGGCATATAGCTGAGCATGAGTGACATCCATCCATCCATTCTCTTCTGCCTATCCCAGCTGTCGGTCGCAGCCGGTCGCCAGTCTGTCGCAGGGCGCATTTCTTTCATATAGTAATTCTACAACAGCAAAGCCATGTCCTTGCTGACCAGAGCCTCCTCAGTTCAAATTCTGTTTTCCTGTTCTTTAATCTCCTCCACTGTGAACAAGAGTTTTGCAGTCACAAGAATAACGCTACTGTCTTAACAATACAGCCAAAGAATTCATTAAATAAATGGATTAGTGTTATACTTTTTTAATACTACTTTTCAATATTTCAATACTTTTTAAATACTTTTTAAAATATACTTTTTAAATTGTACAATTCATCCATGTAGTGGAGGGGATTTTTAAAACTTGGATTTGTACTGCTCATATATATACAAAAAAGTCCCACTCCCTGGAGGTGGCATGTGTGCTCCTTAAACTCGACCTCGATTAGGGGCCGTGGACTCTGAGGGTTCTGCACAATATCTTAACTGTTCCTAGGACTGCACTCTTGTTACACAGACCTCTGATGTTGTATTGTCTTATGTTCCTGCTCAGGTGGTTCATGTTGTGGTGAGAGAGGTAATTGCGGTTGGAAAGATCCATCATGATTACAATTGTTATTCCTTTAGGAATAGAATAGAAGAATAGAATCAAACTTTATTAATGCCTTGGGGAGGTACCCTTAGGGAAATTATGATTAGAGCAAACACCAGTTCATGTTAAATCCAAAAAAGACAAAAATAGGTACAGTAGATGTAGGTCATGTTGGGTGATGGTGCTGTTCATCTCTTCATTCCAGAGACTGGTCAGATGTCTGCCTTTGTGATGTTGACTGGTTCATGCTCTTCATCTCACTCTCCCAGATGTTTTTCCAGCTTTCCCAAGTTTCAGCTATCTCCTTCTGCTTTTATTCAGAGAACACATTTATTGCCTTGGCTTCTGCCTCTCTGATATTTCTCTTTAGCCCAGTAGCCAGAGCTCTGAGTCTTTGCTTAGCAGTTTCTTGAGCCTCAGTTATGGACATCTCGTTGTACCTCTATTCCATTTAGGACCTGTTTCTTATGACGTATTTCTGCACCTGAGTTAGCCTCCAGCATTCTTCCCCATGGGGGTTTTCCTCTGTTGCAGTAGCATATATGAGCTCATTGGTTTCAGTGAGTGAAACTGGCAGTTGGGATGTTGCATAGAGCAGTATTCACATCTGCAAGCGTCTCCTCAAATGCTCTTGGTTGGGTGGCTCCTGTCAGCTGGGCCACAATTTTCATCCTTAGTCCAGATGCTGGGCATCATGCAGTTCTGGCCTAGCCCGAGAACCCTTAACGGATACATGGAAAAAAAAATAGGACTTACTGAGTTGATAAAGAACGTTGTGACACCACTCAGTGTGATTGCTCTTATTAAGTATAGTGAAGACAGATAACAGGACACAGGGTAAGTTGATGTTGCTTCATAGTACAGGCTCCATGGTACAGGATGTGGTTCACCTGTGAAATATTAAAATATCAATTAGGAAAAAGACTGACACAGATCACCCAGTGGTGTTTAAGACCTCTGCATGTCACATTGATGAAAACTGCATAATTTTGTTTCTCTGTGGTTCCCAGTTTCTCAGAGCTGTCTAAGTAATGTTTTAACTGAAAGTGTTCACTGCTGTTATTTCCATAAGAAGCAGTGTTTGCGTTTGATGTTATTAATCGGCATTAAAGCATTGTTCAGTTCATTATGTATCTTTACATTTACTGTTACCTGTTTTTCAGGATTTTCCACTCTTAACTAAAGATGAAATGTTTATGTTAAACAAATCTATGTGATTTGTACAAAGCAGCGTGGGAGAGAAAATGCGATGTTTGCTGTTTAATGTCATATGTATGTTGTATTATTTTACTGTTGGTCAAGGCAGCAACAGCTAAGCCTCAGATACAGACCTTTAAGTCTTAAAGCCAAAAAGCCAAAAAACACGAGCAAAAATAAGTTTATGTTTACAAAGAATAACAGGACTAAAGAAATTTTAACGAGAGCGCCTTATTTTCACTACAAACTGACAACAGTCAATAAAATGTCTTTTTCTTAGTTTAAAAACTTGCCCAAGCTCAAACTCATGGCTGCGCCTTTTAAACCCGCTCTTAATTAGGGAGAAGTTGCCTAGCAACACAGCAGAAATTGTGAATGTGATAAGAAAAAATGTATGATGTTTAAAAGATCAAAACAAGCCATATGTTTAAAGGAAGAACTCATAATGTTTCAGTTCAGGGAAAGTCAGAACCGAGAGATTAGTAAGATTTCAATGTCATCTTTTCATTTTATCTGACTCAAGCAGGATAACATAAAAACTTTCAAGCTGAATTTTATTAAACTTGTTGGTAACGTGTAAAATTAAAGGTCCTAAATGAAACATCAGATGAAGGATCTCTTAAATCTCTTGACCCCCCAAAAAAAATAAAAATATGCTATTAGTCAATCAAGTCTTAAAAATGATTAAACTAAACTAATATTGATAATACCACCTAATTTCATGAAACTTGGAGGAGCTACTGCTGCTATTAGACTGGCAGGGGCAGTGTGAAACATGCTGCTTCCCCAGTTTGTTAGTGATTCAGACATCGGCCACTTTATGTGTGAGATTTGACCCTACAATGAATGGAACCTAATGCAGGTTAGTCAGTTGACTATTTTTTGATAGTTACCTTAATATTTGGGTAATTATGGTCTATGGGGACACACCCACCACTTTTTAATCATATCACATAATTATCAAAATATAGTTTATAAACTGTGAGTCTGTGTTTGGATCCCATTTTAATGTCTTAGAGGCTTCCTCTCCTTCACCGTTAGCAGTTTTTTCCCCCTTATGTTTTCACTGTTTAGGACATTTTCCAAAACAGTCATATCTTTTAGTGAGGTGAGCAACTGAAGGGGCAAAGACATGAGATTGTTCTATTAAAATAGTCATATTCAGTTCATATTTTAATAGGGAAATGAAAAAGAGTGCATGTTAAAAGGGGCTGAAATGGCATTCAGTTTATTGGCCTTTGGCAAATTATTATTACATTTAAAATTCTTTATTTAAAAATGAAATCTCATTGAGATGGGGATTGCTTTGTGAACAGAAAACATACAATCTGAGACTAGACAGACATAAAACAAAACACAAATACATACTGCAGGTATATTGCAAATATAACCTTTAAAATATTCGGATTAAAAAAGAGAGAATGTAGTTTCTATTTTTCATTCAGTTCATTTTATTTGTATAAAGCAGTTTTTTTTAACCTAGTTTGGCTAAGCATTATTAAGAGGTGCAGCTTGTGCTAAAATGTCCTGTGACCTGACATTGTAAGTACTATATTTAAATGTACCAAGGGAGAAGAGGAAATTGGGCATTCTTTGAAGTAAAACTTTATAAATAAGAATTGTGCACGTTTTTGTTTGATAAGACAAAAAAGATCAAACCTTTTCGTCTAGGATCAATTGGTGAGTGAGAAGTATTTGGACAAGAAAAACATAGTAGTTTACCAGATGTTTTCAGGTCTCGAAAGCTATTAATTTATATGAAATAAAACATGAAGGCAGAGTTTTACTGATGGCTAAGGTCAGATTTTTTTCTCTGTTCTGTACTGTAGGTTTAAGGACAGAGCAATAAAGGGTCAAATTCTTAAAACTTCTACCTAACTAGAAGTCAACTAAAATAGACAGAAGAAGACATCTCTCACATAGAGGCCAGAATTTCCATCACTGTGCCCTGATTTCACTGTTCCATCAAGTTTTCAATATAAATGGAGACTGGCTTAAGCTCGCCTGCCGTGTCAGATGGTGCACACAGGGACAACAGGAGATGTAGACTGTGATTAACACTTCTGATATCCACCATCATTTCTCAGTTCAGATGGCTTTTTTCTTCTATCCTTCTTGGCCTTTAGATGTAAGATAAGATGAAACTTTAATGATCGCCCTGGAACGGGGTCAATGGAGCCACAAACAGTAACAAGACAGAGCGAAGAAATAGAATACAAAGGCGAGAGCAGGCCATATAAATACATGCAGACAGCGAGTATGAAATAAACTAGAAAAAAATACTCATATAGGTGATAAATGGGTGGAAGTACACAAAATGTAAACAGCATTACTATAATGTATTGAACAAAATTACGTATACAAACATGAAAATGTAGTTTCTTTAAAAACAACAGTAATAAAGCAGTCACTGAAATGACAGCTCTACAAATGTTGTTCTTTAAAATGTCTATAGGGATGATTTAGTTTGAAGTATTCATGAGCTGACAGAGTTTTCCTCAGAACTGCAGGCAGGATGTATCATTGACTGCTAACTCCTCTATTTTTCATCAAAGACTCATCACCAAAGGTTGAACTGGAGACCTCTAGGTATGATATTCGAAAGGAAAAAACACACAAAAAAACAACTCTAGCTGCCGTCTGGGATGTCTTGCATGTTACACCTTCACACAGGCACTTAAACATGAATGTGAAGGCAACAATCAAAACAAACTGAAAAGGTTTTCACACTGTGAAGCGAGGAGAGGCTGGTGGAGAGGGTAAGGCATGTATAGTAACTTACAGTATTCGACTAATATAAATATACGTATATGCTATGTGAAAAAGGCAGTGAATGCTGGTGTTGTGAAAACAGCGGGAAGTTAGTTATTGTTGTTTGGACCGACAATTTACCTCACTGTAGAACTGCCCTTGAAAACCATTAGGGTATTTGACATAAAAAGTTTTACTGATGGTATAAGGTCAAACAGAAAGAGAGTAGTGACTTAGACACCTCATAAAAAACATTTTTAGATACTTTTCATGGGGGAAAATAAGCAAAAATGATATTGGCCACAATCACAGAACTTGAAAAAGTTGATATCTTGGCTGCCATGTGTAAAGGTTCTTCATCATTTTATATTAACTAAAAGGATACCCTTGCTTTGCCTGTGCATTGTTTATTGAGCAATGAGCTTATTTTCTGCCTTGGTCATCAGACTGTAACAAATCAGTGAAAAAAGCTGAGGAGTAGAGCAGGGCGATATGGCCAAAAATATTTATCACGATATATA